AAGCCCTGGGGGCCTGGCGTGAGGAGCTGTATGTGAGGGCGGGAGGGAGCCCGTCCCCTCGGGAGCGGGCCCGGCGGGGCGAGCGAGTGACTGGCTGCCTCCCTTGGGGAGTGGCCCCTGGGCGGGCCCCTGCTGAGCTGGGCTGTATTGGTGACTCCGCGGTCTCCCGATGCCTTCAGGCTGGGGCGGCGGTTTTGTTCTTTGGGTTTCCTAGCCCAGGGTTTGAGGCTATTGCCTGCTGTGAGCCCCTTTCTTTTCTTATTCGGCCTGTCACAGCGGCCACGATTAGCTTCCTGCTCCGCGACAGCTGCACTCTAGGCTTGCCGGGGCTGACGGAGGGCTCCGAGACCTTCAGCCACTCGGGGCCCGGCGACTAGCAGTCCGAAATCGCTTCAGCTTTGGCCCACGCTTGCCCGTCCGTCCGCCCTATCCGCGCCTAGCTAATGCCTGCCGCAGGGGTTCGCGCTTGGCCTGCAGTTGCCTCCCTGCGCTGAAATTGGGGGAACAGTATGGGATTGGACAAGGTGAAGGGTCCAGGCAGGCCAAGATAGAACTGGCAGCCCAGACTTTAAAACACAGAATGGTGGTGTTGGGGGGTGGGGGTGGGGGTGGGCGGCGTTAAGAAAAAGGAAAAAAAAACACCATCGTGGATAGGAAAAATTATTAGAAAACTGTCGACAGTTTGGTCAAAAGGGATTACCCTTCTCCTATAAACACACATCTACACCCTCACCCTAAAAGAAGTTAAACGTTTCTGAGCCAGGACAGACTTGATGGATGTTTACACATTATAGGTAATCAGATTTGTTTAAGATAAATTGAGGGCTGAGAGTTGCTTAAGATTCTAAGAGCTGGGAGAGCCCATCAACTTAAAACACTACTGTGGAGATTAAAAACAATTCGAACTGGTTTTTCTTTACCATGTAACTTGGTAAGTTGAAATCATTGTAGAATAAAGATTTCCCCTCACACACACCACTTTTTTTTTTTAAGATGCTTATTTTGTTGTATGTTAGTTTTTTCACTCAGCCTCTCAAACATATTGGTACAGTGTTTAAACACTGTTAGCACCGTTTTGAAATCTGAATGTATGCCTCCATTAAAATGCTTTAAAACAAAAACTTTTCCCTTTTCATGTTTTTGTTTTTAAATTTTAAAAATTCAATTTGAGCCTCTTTTGATTCTTTTTTTTTTTAAATATTTATTTTTTAGGTGTAGATGGACACAACACAATGCCTTTATTTTTTTATGTGGTGCTGAGGATGGAACCTGGGTCCTGTCCCTGTCCGTGCCAGGGGAGCGCTCTACCCTGAGCCACAATCCCAGCGCCCCCCTCCCTTTAGATTCTTAAAAGAATGACATTGATTTGTACCTAGGCTAATAGGTGTTCTAAAAGCTGGTAGTCTGTCCAGTTGGGCCAGGCATTGATTGGAATGAGCTGAATAAAGCATTAAGAGAGCCAGGCATGGTGGCGGACATCTATAATCCCATCACCCTGGGAGACTGAGGCAGGAGGATCTCAAGTTGGAGGCCAGTCTTACCAATTTGGCAAGACCTCCAATAACTTAAGACCTTGCTTCAAAATGTAAAAAAGGACTGGGGATGTAGCTCAGTGGTAAAGCACTCATGGATTCAATCCCCCAATAAATCCTGCCCCTGAAGTTATAGACACTTTGTTCTGAGATATCTTTAAGAAGAGAAAAAAGAAATTGGTAGTTCAGCCTACCAAAAAATCCTGTAATTCTAGGGGGATGGGAATAAAGTATATTATACAGATTGTTTCTGCATATTCTTACTGTATTTCTGTGTTCACTTCCCTGGCCATTTTTCACCAGACTGTGAAATAGTCACATTTCATGAATAATGAATTTATATTACCTTTATACTTGTGAATCTTCTTGTTGTCATATATATGGTAATGTTTTCTACATGCAATAAAAATGAGGTTCTAAGGATAAAGCTGGTTCTTTAGGGGTGAGTTATGAGTCCAAGACAGTCATATTTATAGTTTATTGGCAGGGGGAAAAAAGCCATATGCTTTAAGTAAATAGGAATGGAGCTTGTTAGTATAGAAAATTATAGTTATGGGGCTGGGGTTATGGCTTAGTGATGGAGTGCTTACCTAGCATATGTGAAGCACTGGTTTTGATTCTCAGCACCATATAGAAATGAATAAATAAAATAATGGTTCATCGACAACCAAAAAATACTTTAAGAAAAGAAAATTGTAGTTAAGTACATTTATGGATATCATATATATGTGCTTAGTTGTATACTCTTGGTGAAGACAGCTTTCATTTCTTTATGGAATTTGTTAGCCAATTGGAATTTATATATGGATCACATTTTGAAAGATAGTGTGTAGTAGTAGTAGTCTACTGTAGTAGACTAGTTTGCACTGCTCATGGAGTCTTACACTTTTCTCTGAAGTTACTTGGAAATCCACCTTTCATATAGATCCCCCAAATCCACTTTTAAATTTCATTTTTAGGCTTTTTTTTGTCTTAATTATATTCAGTTTTTATACCATAATGTTACAGTTGACTGTCAAGAACAGTGGTTCCTGAAGAAAAATTATCATTGTGCTAATTCAATAAAAGTTTAACTTGTTAAAACAAAGATTTCATTTAATTCCAGGATGTGATGCTCGTTTTGCGTATGTATCGTTTTATAGTAATATTATAGAAACCATCATTGGTATTGATTACAAGTAATCTTTTACTCCCTGGAACTCCTCCTTACTGTGTTGAAATTTTAGGTTTTATACTTCTAGTCAGAAGGCCTACATTTCATGGTCAAGTAG